TAGGCCTGGGGAATCAGCAGTGTGGAAAAAGAAAAGAAGAAATTAATGGGGTGGATGGGGTGCTAACGTGTGCCGAGCTCCTACTCCATGCTGAGTGCTCCTTCCCACTTTCAGTCCACCCTCACAGGAACACCATGAGGCAGATATTTGTACCCCTACATCACAGATGAGGAAACTGAGGCTCAGAAAGGTGAAGCTGCTTACCCACGATGGAAGCGAGGAAGCGAGGTCGGGCTCACTCAGAAACTCATGCTCTTTCATAACCACTGCCCTACAGTGTGTGCCTTAGATGACAGGCTCTCTCTCTGAGCTTCGCTTTCCTCTCCCCGACTTGGGACTGGCAAAGCCTGCCAGGCTGACAAAGGTTTCAGAAGGGTCTAGACTCACAAGGGAGGGGAAGTGCGCTGTGAGGTGCCCAGGGCCCAGTGGGGACTGGGATTACCTTTCCCATCACCCTCAAAGCCAGCAAACTTAGACTCCGGAAGAAGAAGATCTGAGGCCTCGCTGAGGGGCCACAGGCGGGACTCTGGCATGAAGGGACAGAGGACAATCATTAGGTCCCCTCAGGTTCCCAGAGGAGGAAGAAGGGGAGGAGGCAGAGGGCGGGGGAGCTGCGGGGGGTGCCTGGGGGTGTTGCTGTTTTTGGTGACTGCTCAGCTGATGGTTTTCCAAGCTGAGAAACACACATACACAGACTCTAACCTCCTCTGGCTTAAAATAGAGCCACTGAACTGAAAATGCCAAGCACAGGGCAGTCACCTGCCCGGTGGGGGGATACAGCTCCCCCATGACCCCAATAATACCCACCCCCAGTGGACAAATTTGACAAAGCACCTCTCAGCTGCGTGTCACAGGGTCCTCACAATGGTGGGGGCAGACAGCCAGCCAGGGCTCCTCAGCCCCATCTTAGAGATTAGGAAAGTGAGGTCCAGAGAGGAGATAGGAGGGTGGTAAAGCCAGCAGCATCTTGCCTGACAAAGCAGCCTGTGAACTGGAAGGATCGTGACCTCGGGGGCCAGACAGTCCTGAGTTCAAGTCTGGGTTCAGCCACTTCCTGGCTGTGAGGACTTAGCAAGCAAAGCCGTTCTCCTTTGTGCCTGAGCTTCCCGCACTGGGAAGTGAGGGCTCCATCAGTACCGTCTGTGAATGTGCCTGGCACGGACAGGTGCCCAGCAGTTTGAGCTTTGCCATGCTTCTGGAAAAAGAATTCTTGACATCTGCAGGCAGACAGTCAGTCATAAAAAGGGAGGAAAAGTATTTTCCTGCTACTGGGCACCTGGAAAGTGACTCACAATATCTATTATAACCCTCGACATGGTCCTATGAGGTGGGCATTACTATTACCCCCACTTCTCAGATGGGAAAAGCAAGGCGTAGAGAAGTAGAAGTGTTCTATCCTCAGACACGCAACGAGAAAGTGGAGGAGCTGGAACTGGAACCCAGGCCTCATTGACTCCAGCTGTGTTCACGACCAGGCCTCATTAACTGTCCCGGGAACGGGCCCCAGCCTTCCCCTGAAAACAAGCCTCCTTCACCCCACAGTCCCAACAAGCCCTTCTCAGGCCCTTCTCGGGTTGTAGGTCCTTGGTGCCCCTCCTCCTGCCCCCACTCTGAGACCGTAGGCCAGGTTTCTGCTCCTCTGAAGTCTGGGCAGGAATCAGAAAATTGACCTTGCTGATGCCATTGCTAAAAATAAGGCTGGCAGCAGTGCCAGCACCCTGTTCCTGGGCCACTGAGCTGCAGTCCTGCTTCTCAGGGGAACAGGAACCCAAGGCCCCCTCTCCCCGGCACTGGGCGCCAATTCTGCCTGAGAACTGAGTCAGGGCACACGCTGGGTGTAATGTCTCTATGGCCCGGGTGTTCGCTCACTTGCCATATCTGCAAGAGTGGCTAACAGGTCGACACAAGTCCTCAGGCCGGGCTCTGCTCTCGGCGCTTCCCATCTACTGGCTCATGGAATCCGCACCACCACTATGCAGTACACACCCAGCACTGCAGTGGTACTGTGGCAGTTCCCTGTTGCTGCTGTGACAAATGATCGCAAATCGAGCAGCTGAAACAACACAAATGGATTATCTGCCGGTTCTGTAGGATGGAGGTCTACACAGGTGGCACTGGCTAAAATCGAGGTGTTGGCAGGACCACGTGCCTTTCTCGAGGCTCTGGGGAGGAATGTGTTTCCTCGCCTTTTCCAGACGCTAGAAATCGCCTGCCCTCCTTGGCTCGTGGCCCCTCTTCCATCTTCACAGCCAGCACCATCGGGCCGGGTGCTTCTCATCTTGCATCTCGCTGGTTCTCCCTCTTGTGCCTCCCTCTCTTGATTATAAGGACCCTTGTGATTACATTGGCCCACCCAGATAACCCAGGAGGATCTCCCATCTCAAGGTCAGCTGATTAGCAGCCTGAATCCCCCTTTGCTATGTAACCCAACATGTTTACAGGTCCCAGGGACAGGACGTGGGCATGTTTGGGGCGCCATTATTCTGCTGACCACAGCACCTTGTATAGGAACTTTTCTAACCCCATTTTACTGGTGTGGAAACTGAGGCATGACAAGTTCACACAGGTGGTAAGCAACAGAAGGGGGATATGAACCCACTTGGGGTGCAGAGTCCAGGCTCTTCTACATGCTGTGGCTGCTCATTTGTCCTCAGACAGTCACTGGCTGTGTGCTCTGTGCCAGATCCATGGGCTGGGGACAGAGAGGTGACCAAGATAGGATCCTTTCAGGGGGACACAGATGTAGAATGCAAGAATGACAGTGCAAGGAGAGGACTGCAAGATGGCAGGGGCCAGAGGCCTCTGGGAGCACAGAGGAGGGGCGCCTGAGGAGGAGTCAGGAGAGAAGTCCAGCCAAGCTGAGAGCTGAAGACCTGAGAGGGTGTCAGCCAGCCGCACCCACGGCATCAGGAGACTGTGATGATCAAATGCGTTAATACTTGTAAAGTGCTTTGGCTGTGTCTGGCCCCTGGCAGGCCTGCAATAAATGCTGGCTGTCGAGTGGGATGGGGAAAGGACTGTTTCAAGCAGAGCAAGAGTTTGTGCAAGGAGCTGCCAGGTTAGCGTGGCTGGAGCAAAAAATGCACACGGGCTGCGGAGAGAGAGGCTGGAGCAGTGCTGGGGGGACAGGCGATGCAAGCCAAGGCTGCGGCGGAGCTGTGGGAAGGCAGATGCTCCGGAGAGCTGTGAGAGAGGCTGCCAGGGCTCTGCCCAGAATCTCCGCGAAGGTCCACCCAGGACTCTGAAAGGAGTGTCCCCTTGGTGCTGGGAGGCAGGAGTGGATTCCTCGGGGAGTGAGGTCAATGGAAGGCTCCTCAAGCACCCAGCTGTTCAGGCCAACGACCCAGGGGTCATCCTTGAGCCCTCCTGTTTGCCGTCCACATCCAGCACATCAGGAAGTCGTGTTGCTCCATGCATCGGGGGGCTGTGGTAAGAGATTGACCCCATATCTCAGGGGCTTAACGCAACAGAAGTTCAAAAGAGGAGTCCCTGGTTGGGGGACAGCCTCACAATGTGTCTGTCAGGCACCCAGCTCCTTTCACTCTGTGGCTCTGCTCTCCTCTAAGGACTTCAGGTCTCCACACTCAGCCTGCAGCTGCGGGAAGGGAGATGGAGCACAGCATGTGGGGGAGTTTTATGGGCCAGGCCTGGTAGTGGCTCATGTCACTTCTGCCTTCATTCCAGTGGCTACAGCTCAGTCACACGGACACTCCTTTCTGCACAGGAGGCTGGGAATAGTGGCTAGCTGCGTGCCCAGCTCCACTGGCCTGACATAGCCCAGGTCCATCCACTTCTCTCCACCTCCAGAGCTGTGCCCCTAGCCCAGGCCACCCTCAGAGGCGTTTGGACTACAAGTCTCCCAGCTGGACTCCACTCTTAGCCCCCATCCCTTTCCCACAAGACAACAGCCAGAATGCTCTTTTTCAAAAAGTCATTCAGATCATGGGCGTTGGTTTTCCTGTTTGCAGCCTTTCCAATTGTACTGAAGAATAAACCCGAATAAGGGCCAGTAAGACTCTGTGTGAAGTCGCCTCTCTATCTTCCTTCTGCTGCCCCCTCCACACCGCCCCCAGCGCCCCAATTCTCTTGGCTCCAGCCACACCAGCTTCTCTGCTTAAAGGACTTGCCCTTGCTGTCTGGCTGCTGCCCTCCCCAGACAGGCCTTCTCCCAGCACCTTAGCTGGTGGTACCCACCTGCCCCCAGAAACTGTTCTCCTTCTTTCTCACACTTGTCTTAAACCACCTTTTTGTTTGTTTTTTAGCCAACTCTCCTTTCTAGGATATCAGCTCTGTTTACCGCAGGAATCTTGTTTGCACCGGTAGGTGCTTGATAAATATTTGTTGACTGACTGACCCAATGAAAGAATGAATGACTTGTCCAAGGTCACAGGACGAGACAGGGGTGGAGACAGGACTTCTGCAGACCTGGGCTTTGGGTGCTGTGCCCCAGCCGTCACTGTTTGCAGACACAGTAGCCCCGGGGCGCCGGCGGGTAAACAAAGGCAGATGTGTGGGAGGGGCAGGGAAGGGGCAGCTGGAGGAGCCCTCTCGGCCCTCCTCCCCGGCCCCCCGCCAAGGCCCAGACCCTGTGTGCCGCCGCCGCGTGGGGCGCGGGCGAAGGGTGGGGGACAGGGCGCGGGCGCTGGAGGGGCAGCAGGCGGGGCGGGGGCACTGGAGGGGCGGGGCGGGGGTGCTGGAGGGGCAGGGGGCGGGGCGGGGCGGGGCGCGGGCGCTGGAGGGGCGGGGCGGGGGTGCTGGAGGGGCAGGGGGCGGGGCGGGGCGGGGCGCGGGCGCTGGAGGGGCGGGGCGGGGGTGCTGGAGGGGCAGGGGGCGGGGCGGGGCGGGGCGCGGGCGCTGGAGGGGCGGGGCGGGGCGGGGCGGGGCGGGCGGGCGTCGGGGACCAGCTGGGGTCCGGGCCCGGGGTCCGGGGTCGGGGCCGGGGCCGGGGCCGGGGCCGGGGTCGGGGCCGGGGCCGGGGCCGGGGTCGGGGCCGGGGCCGGGGCCGGGGCCAGGGCCGGGCTGGGCGCCGCCATGCGGGAGCCGAGCGTGCGCGCGGCGGCGCTCGTGCTGTGCATCCTGTCCTACCTGCTGGTGGGCGCCGCCGTCTTCGACGCGCTCGAGTCCGAGGCGGAGAGCGGCCGGCAGCGGCTGCTGGCCCGGAAGCGCGGCGAGCTGCGGCGCAAGTACGGCTTCTCGGCCGAGGACGACCACGAGCTGGAGCGCCTGGCGCTGCAGGCCGAGCCGCACCGTGCTGGGCGCCGGTGGAAGTTCGCCGGCTCCTTCTACTTCGCCATCACCGTCATCACCACCATCGGTGAGCGGCCCCGGCGCCCCGCCTCGGCGCTCGCTCCAAGCCGGGCGGTGGGTTGAATCCCCCTCTGCCCCTGCCCAGCTGGGTGACTTCGAACGAGTCATTTCAGCTCACCGAGCCTCACTGGCCCCCCCTGCTGAATGGGGCTGTTGCTCCACGCAGGCAGGGCTGGGAGGAGTCAGGAGGTCAAGGTGGCCAAGAGGCCGGCACGCAGGAATGCCCAGAAAACGTCCCAGGGTCTGGGAGACAGACGAGGTGGGGCCAGAAGCCCAAGGTGCTGGAGTTGCTTCATTGCCTGGCTGCATCACCCTAGCTGTGTGACCTCGGACAAGTTGCTTAACCTCTCTGAGCCTCAGTTTTCCCCGCTGTAAAATAGAGGTGCTAAAAGGCCCTATCTCAGGGTTCTGGTGGGATGATTATTATCGAGGAGATAATATATGCAGAAAGTTTTAGCATAGGCACTGACACATAGAAAGCACTAAAAAAGATTAATTTTTGTATTATAATAATTGTTATTTTGTTTATTGTTACTCTGTGAGACCAGGGCCGTAGTCTGTCTTAGTCACTGCAGTAAGGCCAGTCCCTAGCGCGTAGTTGACGCTCAATAAATATTTGTTGAAGGAATGACTGATTACCACAAGCTTTGGACCTCACCCTCAGGGATCCAGCGCAGTTTCTCGGCATCTGGACTGCCAGCCGTTGCCATGGCTACCGTCTGGCTGGTACCTGCTGTGCCTAAGCCTAGGGAAGCAGGAAAGGAAAGCAGCAGGCTCTGTGGGGCTCCACGCTGGGTGCCAGTCACTCCCCGGCCCCGCGGTGGATGTCCAGGCACCCCTTTGGGCTTGGACCAGCACCCTGAAGCCCGTACCTTGGAGAAAGTTTCTCGTGATGCTCTTGCAAGTGAGTGTGAGCTGTGGGTTAGAAGCCTGAGTTGGGCAATTGCATTCAGAGAACAGAGTTCTCATCTCTGTTGCCCCCTGCCTTCTCCCGCAATTGATTGCACCTCTCTGAGCCCTGGTGTCCTCAACTGCAAAATGCACTTGTTCCAACCACTGGGTAGTTGCCAGCTTTAAATGAGGTCAAGCATGTAAAATGCTTGGCACAGTGCCTGAGGCTAAATAGGCGCTATTCATTAGTAATAACAACAATTCATTCTTTGCCAGCTGTAGGCCCAGCTCCCATTCAGCCCTTTGCCCCCAGCCCCCGTCAGTATGGCACCCCTGCTTCCTTATCTGGGCTCAACCTAAGACCTTCCCTGTCTCCGCCCCCAGTGGTGTGGGACCCCATCCACCTCTTCTGCCCTCCCCCACATTATTCGGAGGCCTCCCGGCTGGGGTGCCCTCCTCTCCTGGTTGTTCCCCACTGACAAGCACTGGCAGCCTGGGAAAAGGGACGGAGTTGAAACAGCAGTTTTGCATTTTCTGGCCACCTGGGGGCGCCGGCCCTTGCTGTGAGGTCCGGGCTGCATCAGCCAGCCTTGCAGCCAGCCAGGTGCCAGAACCCAGCAGCCTGAGTGGGGCATGGACGGCAGAGAGGCACTGAGAGGCAACCGACGATAGTGGGTAATAGCTCTGGGCAGCTTCCTCCCTCTAGCCTAGTTTCCTTATCTAAAATGGGGATAATGATATCTCCTACAGTCATTGGGAGGGTTAAATAAGATAATCCATGTAGAGTATCCAGCACGTTTAGTTATTACCATTATTCATCCCTCTCTGCCCAAACCGACATAGCCCCAGACAGCTGGAAACAGCACCGCCTCGCCGCTTATTCCTCACGAGGCTCCTCTGTCTTACACTCAGCACCCCTTGAATTTGGTTTGATTGTTATTATTATTGATTATTGAACTTTCATTGAGCCCTTAGCCTGTGTCAGGCTGTGTGCAGGGCATGGGTGATTAGGGGCACAGAGAGCGACCGGCATGGTCTCTGGCCTCAAGGATCTCACAGGCTAGTGGTGGACAGAGGTCCCCCCGCCCCCAAATAACAGATGGGACCGCAATAGAAATGGGGAAGTGGAGCCATAGGTCTTTAAAGACGTATATTGTGTTGACATCTTGGATCAGTTATAGATGCACACAGTACACACGTCACATGGTACAAAAGGGTATGGAATGAAAAAGGAAGTCTTGCTCTTGCCCTGACCCTCAACCCACAGGGCCCTGTTCCTGCATCAAATAGTTACCAGTGTCTTGTGTATCCTTCCAGATGTGTTCTCTGTGCATTCCTTTAAAACGCACACACACATTTTTATAGGCATCATGTTATACACACTTGCTTTTTTAACTTAATATATTTTGGCGATGTTTTTATGTCAGTCGCTAAAGAATTCTGTCATCTTTTTCATGGCAGTATAGCAGCTCTTCTCAACTTTGGCACTGTTGACATTTTGGACTGGATAATTCTTTGTCGTGGGGTTGTCCTGGGCATTGCAGAATGTTTGGCAGCATCCCTGGCCTCTACCCACTAGATGCCAGTAGCACACAACCATTACCTCCCAGTTGTGACAACCAAAAATGTCTCCAGACATTGCCAAATGTCCCCTCAGGGACAGAATCACCCCTGGTTGGAGTCCCTGCTGTGCAGTATTCCATCGTTTGGATGGCACTGTGATTTATTATTCAACCAGGCCCCTAACGATGGACACTTTGGTTGTTTCTGCTTTTCACTGTGAGCAACAGTGCTTCGGTGAGGACCCGTGTGCACACATCACTGTGTACATGTCTGTGTTTTGGAGGACTAACTTCCTGCCTGCAGACCCGCATAGGCCAAAGGGTTTGTGTCTTTTACATTTGGCAGATGGGGCCAATTTGCCAGGAATATTCTGTTGGGGAAGGTCCACCTGAGTTTTCCTGGGTTACGGGCCCCTTTGAGAACACCGTGGAAGCTCTCTTGGAAGACACATACCCTGTCATTCCAAGGCGATGGCTCGGTGTTCCAGGATCAAGGAAGCCCCTCATGTTGAGGTCCCCTCCAACAGTTGGGGGCACCCAGTGAAGAGTCACTACACCAGACTGAAGAGGTGTTTAGTGAGGGCTGGCGTGGAGCAGGATCTGGGGACGGAGATGTGGCCTGGGGCAGGGGAATCGGGCAAACCAGGGAAGGAAAGACCGTGAGAAAGGGCATGAAGATGGGGGACATGCTGGCCGGGGAAACAGCATGAGGGGAGGTTGGAGAGGACTCAGATCATGAAGGACTCCGACACCAGGTCAGAACTGGAACTTTACGCTGTGGGTCCTGGGGAACCACAGAAGATTTTGCTCTTTTTTTTTCATCAAAGCACAATTCACATACAGTAACATTCACTGTTTTCCAGGGTACACTTCTGTGAGTTTTAACAAATGATCTGTCGAGTAACTGCAGCCGGGATCAAGACACAGAATATTTCCATCACTCTGGAAAATTCTGTCAAGCCCCTTTGTGGTTAACCCCTCCTCCAGCCTCAATGACTGGCAACCACAGATCTGTTCTCTGTCCCCATAGTTTTGTCAGAATGTCATTTAAATGGAACCATGCAGTACGTAGCCTTTTGACCTTGGCGTCTTTCACTCAGCGCAATACATGTGAGAGCCATCTTTTGCGCCGCAGGTAACAGTAGTTCATTCCTCTCTGTTGTTGAAAAGAATGCCATTGTATGGATGTACCGCAGGTGCTTTTTCCTTCCCCAGCTGAGGGACATTTGGGTTGCTTACTATCTGGGGTGATTATGGATAACCATGAAAGGTTTTAAAGCCGGGGAATGACCTAGTTAGAACCAGCATTTCGAGATGCTCTGCTGGCTTTGGGGATGGGAAGAGAGACCCTGCAGGAAGGCAAGAGCGTTGTTAGATGGAGCTGGGCACTCACCGACCCTCCCCTCCCCTCCGCTCTCCCCCCAGGGTACGGCCATGCCGCGCCAGGCACGGACTCGGGCAAGGTCTTCTGCATGTTCTATGCGCTCCTGGGCATCCCCCTGACGCTGGTCACCTTCCAGAGCCTGGGCGAGCGGCTGAACGCGCTGGTGCGGCGCCTCCTGCTGGCGGCGAAGCGCTGCCTGGGCCTGCGGCGGCCGCGCGTGTCCACCGAGAACATGGTGGTGGCCGGGCTGCTGGTGTGCGCGGCCACCCTGGCCCTCGGGGCCGCCGCCTTCGCGCACTTCGAGGGCTGGACCTTCTTCCACGCCTACTACTACTGCTTCATCACCCTCACCACCATCGGTTTTGGCGACTTCGTGGCGCTGCAGAGGGACGAGGCGCTGCAGAGGAAGCCGCCCTACGTGGCTTTCAGCTTCCTCTACATCCTCTTGGGGCTCACGGTCATCGGCGCCTTCCTCAACCTTGTGGTCCTGCGCTTCCTCGCCGCCAGCACCGGCGCGCTCGAGCGCGCTGCCCGCCGCGCCGGCCCGCTCCGCCTGGGGGCGCCCGAGAGCCGCGGCCGCTGCCCGGCCCGCCGCCCCGCCCGCCCCGGGGGCCCCGCCTCGGTCTCCCACCGCGTCCACCAGCTGGAGGTGTGGGCCCGCGACAATCTGGGCTTCTCGCCCCCCGCGAGCCCGAGGGCTGTGGGCGGCGGCAGGGCAGGCGGGCCTCTGGCCCGGCGGAAGTCCATCTAACAGCCTCCCCCGCCGGGGGTGGGTCCCGGACTCGGAGGGTCCGGGTTCACCTATCAGTGCACCCTCCGCAGAGCTTGGGGAGGGGGGAGGGGCCGTGGCCTCAGGCCGTCTTCTGCCACGAGCAGTTTCTCATTCCCTTCTGTGGCGAGCCCCTCCCTCCTCTCCAAAAACATATTAAACTCGCATCAGAAGCACAACGCTACTCTAAAATCACCCTGTAGGTGCAAGTCCCTTGTAGCCCACATTGAGGAAGGCGTGGCCCCATCGGTCACCTGAGAGAGGCCTCCACAGGCCCCTGTCACTACCTGGCCCTCCGGAGCACAAACAGGTGGCTGTTCCTCTGTTGTGCGAAGACGCTGGCTTTCCGGGTTGTAGGGGATGTGGACGACTTTCAACACGGGAATCCCACCGGTGAGGCCAGCTGTTCACACTATGTGCAGCACAGGGATCAGATGGACTGAAGGAAAAGGTCTCCCGTCCAGTGTAGACGAGTGGGCACATCTCTGCCCTGTTTAAATGGTGGCTCGTTCTTTGCTCAGTGTGTAGAGAGGAGCTGGCCTGTGTGTAAATGAAGTACACCTCCCTTGTCCCCCTAAGCTGAGGCTCTTTGTCCTTGGCCAGCCCCCCTTCAGCATGAGGGGGGCCTTGCTGACACCCACCATGTCACTGGGGCCACCTAGATGCACTCAAATCCTGTGGGACAAGCTATCTTCCCGGAGCTGTGTGATCTGGGGCCTGCCAATCACCCACAATATGACCTTGGGGAATCTCATCCCCTACCTGGGCCTCAGTTTCCACATCTGTAAAATGACTGGGTTCACTCAGAATTCTGTTCCCTCCTGTGCACCTCTGGAATGGTTCCTGGGACAGGCCCCTGCCCCATAGGAGGGCATTAACAAAGCCCACGGTGGGGCATACTGGCACCCCATAGCACTCAGCTCCTCAAAACACCAACTGCCCTTAGCTTCCCGGATAGAGACGTCTCAAGACAAAGCAGAGCAAGCCAGGTTAGAAAAGCCAAAAACTTTAATTTTCAACATGAGCTACATGGTCATGAACACAATGCAACGTGACCCACTCCAACCCAGGGGCCCTGGAAACCCTCCCTCCCCAAAGGCCCGAGTGGCTCCTGCTCCCAGAGAGGGAATGAGGGAAAGGTGGGTGGAGGGAGGGAGGCCCCAGCCTGAGGGCCTGGGGTCCTGCCTTCCGGCCACCCCCTGAGGAGGCAGTGGTAGAGTGAAAGGGCTCCAGGCGTGATGCCTGAGGCCCCGGGTTCAAGTCTCCACTTTGCCTCACAGAAGCTATGAGTAAAACGGGCAGTCAGCCTCCCCATGGGGTCTGTGAGTCAGATGAGCTCATGGACATGAAAGCTTTCCGTCCACTCTGAGGTGCCACTATACAGACATGGGGCCCTCCCAGAGGGCCACAGGAGTCATTACAGGGGAACAGGGAGCGCTTGGTCCCCTGGGCTCGGCACAGCGCTGCTGCTCAATAAATAAATGCAGGTGGCCTTGCTGGACGCAACAGCTGTGCTCCAAAGGGAGTGGGGCTCAGAGCTGCTTCTGAACACTGAAATGCGCCCAGGAGCTCCTGGTTTAAGGAGCTGGATGGCCAATCAGCTTGCATAACCACCCCAAACTGCCTGCTTCCCCTCCTTGTGGAGAAGAGTGAGCTCTGAGCTGTTGGAGAACTGGGTTCCAGTCCAGGCTCAGCCACTAACTCACAGTGAAACCTTAACAGGTGCCTCCCCCTCCCCCCAACAGGGCTCTTTAAAATGGGGCTGATAACATGGGCCCCCCTCTTACTGCCCCAGGAGCTTTGTGCGGGTGTACTAGAGGTAAAAGCACTTTGAAAACAAAAAAGTTTGAAAAGCACTACGGGAAGCTCAGGTATTATTAATCTGAAGGTTGTGAGGATTTCCTTAAGATGAGGTGTCCCACAGCTGCCTCACTCCCACACAGCCGTGGGCAGGAACGGGGGTCCTGCCTCCCTCAAGTAGGTCCTGGACAGGTTATAGCCCCTTGGTGGGAGCCCCCACCCAAACAACAAGGCCTGGACCAAATCCTGTGCACGCTCAGTCAGCTGGGCTAGACCCCCAGGAGAGCTTATTCTCTATGGCAACCTTCTCCCCCAAACCCAGGCCCAGAAAAGTCACTGGCCCGCTGAGATGGAACCAGGCAGGGCTGGGTGGCCCAAGGCTTAAAGGCCACAAATACTTATCATGGCAGACATGCCCGGAGCAATGGCCTCCTGTCCCGTGAAGGAGGGAAGCACAATGGCGCCCCTGGTTCTGTCCCCATCACTCACTTGTTGAGGGGTCTTGGTCAAGTCACTTCCTGTTTCTGGGCCTCAGTTTGTTCACCACTCGGAAGGGCTACAATTCGCCCTGCCCATCCTTCCAAGGCCACTGGGAAGCTCCATGGAGACAAGGGAGGAGGAAGCGTCATGGGAAATGGTGTCCCCACCTCGTCCTGCCCTGGCTCCAGCTCAGCCTCAGGTGGGAGGAGGCGGCCCAGGCTGGGGGTGCCACTGAACTCACAGGTGACCCCAGAGGCGGCTCTTCCCCACACTGGGCCTTGGTCTTCTGTCTGTAAAATGGAAATGACTTCACTAATGGTCCCAAAGCCCCTTTCCCTTTTGTATGAAAAGCAGATTCTGGAGAAGGAAAGTGGTGAGGATTCACTCCCTCAGGACCCCTGCATGTGACCTTTGGCCCAGAGCCTGAAAAAAGAATTGTCCCCTAGAGACCCGGCCCCCCACCCCTCCCCTACTCCACCTCTCTGCTCCTCTCCAGAGGGTGGAGTTTGAGCTGGCAAAGGATCAGATGGCAGTGGGGCTTGAAGGTTCCCCAAAGCTGATAATAGTCACCCCCTCCTGGAAACCCCATCCCTTGGTGAGGACAGCTGGTGGGTCCACACCACATGGCCAGAGCCCCTTGGAGGGGAGGAGCACGTGCTCACAATGATGATACGAAGAAACAGGGCTCCAGCCCCCACCCCACCCCTCCAGGAGGTGAGCGGAGATTTCACAGAACAAACAAGAAAGTCGTGGGGGGTGACCACCCCCAGGATGATGTTATTGCTTTGGAGCGCTCTCTCTCTCTATAAAGGCTGTGCAGACACCAGAGGGCGGGCTCAGGCTGGGGGCCCCACCCCTCTCCCTCTGGTTGGGACAGCCAGGCTCCACGTCCTCTGAAAAGCTAACCTTGAACATCCGGAGCAGTGATGGCAGGAGAGAGAAGGCGCTCTCCTGGCTCAAAATATTCTAAATGGCGAGTAATAAACGAACAGCAGAGAAATCACACTGGTTAAAAAGACAAACAGGGAGGGGCTGATTCTGGGCTTCAGGTGTGAGTCCGTCCAGAACCCTGCTCCCTCCTGCCCTCAGCCTTAGGATCCCACCCACCACAATCCCAGGAAGCCCTGAAGACCTCCAGGATAAAGGGGCATCGCCATCTCCCCTGCCCAGTGCAGTGTGAGAAGCTCCGTGGAGGTGAAATAACTCATCCAGAGCTTTAAAGGATACCCAGGGCTTAAACAGGCAGAGGGGAGGGGAGGAATTTCAGCTGGAACGAATGGCCTGATCAATAGCCTAGAGTGAGACCAGGGACAAGGTGGGACCGAACACAGCCGGGCATCCTCATGGGAAAACAACCCCCTCTAATGGAGCCCAGGCCCCCTCCACCAAGGCCCACAACCCTCAGGAGTGCTTCATAAATTAAATCAGTACCAAAGATAATAAATCAGAACATCTGAGTATAATGGGCAGCTCCAGCTACAACCCTACGGGTTAGGGGGGATGAGGAGGAGGGGCCGGCCTCCTATGAACCAGGCTCAGGCCCAGGTCAGCGAGGAGACACCTGGCACGCACTTGCGTCTCCTCTCCACCCGTCCTGGGGCTCTGTAAGGACTATGTGCTAGCTAAGAATGGGCCCCAGGGCTTGGAGCACTAACTACCCAGCTAACCTGGACTACACCCTACACAGCAGGGACTGGGTAATGAGGGGTGGTGGGCTGCTGGGTGCCTCCGGGGAGGTGGCAGAAATGTGCTTCTACAAAGAGGGGCCAGCCTGCGTCCTCCCCAGCATGCAAAAGGGCTTCTGTTGGCCCCGGGGAGGGCTGGGCTGGGCAGGCAGCTACCCAGGCCTGCTTGAGAAGGAATCTCTGATTCTTACACTCATACCTCTTTACTCTTTCTCTCCTTGAGCCAAGATAACTGAGGCCGGGGCAGTGGGTTCTGCCCTTAGTACAGGATGGTTGGTTTAAAAAGACTAAAATAGGGGAGCTGTGTTGCCTCCCGAGACCCCTAGCCTGGAAGCAGAGGGGTGGGCAAGATAAACTTTGACCTCATCCAGCAAGGAGAGATTCTCCTATTTGGAACCCTCGCCTTGGCACCTCCAGTCCCAGCCCAGCTTTCCTCAGACTCCCTCTCCACTCCAGCATCCCCAAAATGCAGAGATGGTGGGCCCTCTGGGCTCAGGGTTCTGGAAAATCAGGGTCCTGCAGCTTCTCCACAAAAACACAGACGACAGAGTCCTTTCCAGTCCACCAACAGTTTCCAAAGTAGCTTGTTGCAATCCCATGAGAAGGCACCCTGGGGATCTGTGCCAGGCCCCGGGCACCACCTCTTTCCTTTGGTCCCTGCTGGACCCCAATTCCTAGAGCTACCGGAAGAGGGGCAGGCAGGAGGGGACGGACAGATGGACTTGGACAGGCTGCGGCAAAGCTCCTTCCACGGGCAGGCGAGGGAGGCCTGAGCTCCTCTCAAGTGGGGGGCTCTGGGCCCCCCCGGAGCTGGCTCCGGATCCTTGCAAAGCTGCCCCATCAGCTTTGGGGCAGGAGTAGCTGCCTGAACCCGGTGCCGCAGGAAAGACACTTGCTGGTAATTGGCACCATGGAGATGGCCGCTGGGTTCTGGACTTGGCTCCGGGCAGCGAGCTTCCCAGGAGGCAAAAGGGGGGAGCGGTCGGACAGTGTCTGGGGCAGGAGAATGGTGTGCTCTGCCACCTCCATCTTTCCTTTCTCCAGATTGCAGCCACATCCACCAGGTCAAGAGCCGGCCAAGTCAAAGTGCAGCCAATCCCTTCGGGAGAGGGAAGGTCTCGGGGGGTAGGAGGCAAAGAAGGGGTGAGGGGGGGCCCTGGGGGCAGGTCTCCCCGTTCTGCTTCCCCGCTGCGAGGGAAAACCCCGGCCTCCTCTGTTCAACGTGCCCCTGGGCCTGGGGTCCCAGGTCGGGGCTTGGCGGTCTCAGGCCATCTTGGGGAGCCCCTCCCCATCCCCAGCACTAAGATCGCTCGCCACAGGGCCCCACGGTGCTCTCCAGGGACAACTGGGATGGCTGCCGGAGCAGGGGGCCTGTGGCTGGGTCCACCATGGAGGAGGTGGGGAAGAGCTTGTACCAGCCCACGGCCAGGGTGGTCAAGTCCAGCTCCTCCAGCAGCACGCGGGCCACGCCCATGAACTGCTTCCGCTCCATCCGCCCGTAGTTGCCCCACACGATCACCTGCAGGCAAGAGACACAGGGGTTCAAATCCTGCCAGTGCCACTCATAGGCCCAGAACCAGAACCTGGGCCACCCCCACACCCAATTCACCTCTGAGACTGTGGATTCTCCTCTTTAAAACTGCTCAAGTCTGACCATATTTTCTGGCTCCAGTGCCACCATTATTGCTGGCCTGGATGGCTGGTTCCTGCCTGCAGCCTCGCCCTCTAGGTTCCATCCTCCATCTTTGAGCCCAAGCCTTGAGGGCTGACCTGCCGTCATGAGTCACCTGCCTGCTTCCCTTATGGACCCTCTGTTTCCAGATCCTCAGAAGTGCCCCAAATGAAACAAAGTCTTAAAAAGTGGCTGGGACCGTGTGCATGCTGGCTTCCTTCCTTTCCCCAGCAGACCCTTTTCTGCGGTGCCTTCCCCAGGTCTTGGTCAACACCCTTTCTTGGAGCGGGCAGCTGGGTGGTCTCTGTGGCTGCAGGACCCTCATTTGCTCTTCTGTACTTCAGCTTCTAATTCCGTCCCCCTGGATGAAGGTGGGCTGGCTCAGTCATTCAGGAGAGCCTGGGGGCTTAACCTGCAGCCTTTGGAGTCAGACACATGTGGGTTGAAATGCCAGTCCTGGCTGTGTGGTGTGGGGCAAGGCATTTAAGACTCAGGGAGTCTCAGAGTTCTTGTTTGTAAATGGAATTATCCCCACTCAGCTTCCCTGCCAGGCGAGGACCAGAGGAGATGATGGATGTAAGAGCTCACTGTAAGCTGTAAACTGTTCCTCAAGCATAGCAGGTAATGTGAAAACAACTGTCCAGGAACTGTTCTAACAGCAGACCACCCTTAGATTCCAGCTTCCCAACAACCCTACAAAAATGAGCCCATTTCACAGCTGTTTAAGCTGAGGCCCAGATAGGTTACATCATGTGCCCGAGGTTGCTCAACTAATAAGTCGTCAGTGCTCCTTATTCAGCTGATTAGAAGCCCACTTCTGTTCATGGATGGGTTCGTTTTCACTGGTGTTATGGGAAGAACTGTGTCCCCCCAAATTCACATTGAAGCCCTAACCCTCGGTACCTTAAAATGTGACTATATTGGGAGAAACAGCCTTTAAAGAGGTGATTAAGTTAAAATGAGGCCATTAGGGTGGGCCCTGAATCCAATACGACTGGAGGTCTTATAAGAAGAAGAAATTAGGACACACAGCGAGACACTGGAAATGCACATGCACAGAACAAAGATCATGTGAGGACACAGCGAGAAGGTGGCCATCTGCGAGCCAAGGAGAGGAGCCTCAGAAGAAACCAACCCTCGACACCTTCACCCTGGACCTCCAGCTCCCAGAGCTGCGAGAAGTAAATTTCTGTGCAGGCCATCTAGTCTCCAGCACTTTGCAATGGCAGCCCCGCAAACTGACCCAACTGGCATTCCGGAGCTCGCCCGTGGTGGGTCGTCCTGCTCTGACATCAGAGCCTCAGCAGCAAGCACCCCAGGTCAGATTTCTGTTTCCCCACTCCCTCTGCATAGCAGACAGGGATGTGCCCCAGAGCTTCTCCAAAGATGGTCAGGCCAGAACACACAAACCTTCATCCAGTGGCCAGATGTGGCCCCCAGATGGTCTCCTGGTTGTTTTAAATTGTATATGAATGCTCTAGGTGAGAAGGGCTTTTCCAAACTTTCTTGACAGGGATATCCAGCAAGTGAGAGACCCACATCACCTGCCAGTGCACACAAGGAATTCACAACAGAAGCGAGCACCTCACCAAATGAGACTTCCCTTATGGAGAGTGATGTTTTCTTTCCTATTTGTATTTCTTTCCTATTTCCTATTCCATTAAAAAAGAAATACTTGTTGAGACCTGCTAAACTGATTTCACAACTCACTGATGGGTCTCAACCCACAAGTTGAAAACTCTGCTCTAAGCGGGACCTTGGCCCCTCAGGTTAGCAAAAGTCCCACTGTCTTGGCAAATTCTAACACCTTGGCCCTGCCCACGTTTGCTCTGCCTGCCCAGGTGAAGAGTGAGAAACTGAGGTACAAGCCAGAGGGAGCAGGCCTATGGCTCCTTCAGGCATTCGACCTGGGGCCTGCCTAAACCCACGATGGGCAGCTGTCTCTAGTTCAGATCTGAGTGACCAATAGGATCCTCCTAATGACCAGAGAGCCAAATGCCTCTCTGGATCCTCCACAGGCTCCCCGTCTATGATCACTGGGCTCCAGGCCAAGCCCCTGGCCTTGTCATTGATGATGATGGTGATGGTCATGGTCATGATAGTGCTGGCGGCCATTTGCAGAGCACTTACCACAGACCCACCCTGCAAATACTTGTCTTGCACAAAGCGCATGATTCAATGCCGCAGTAATGATCTTAGGAGGTACCACGAGCGTCCCCATTTCACAGATGAAGAAGCTGAGGCTCAGAAAGGAACTGGTTCAAGGTCGCACAGCCAGTTGTGGAGCTCAGATCAACCACAGTGCTCCATGTCGTCCAGGTGAGGCCTCCCCAGGGGCGCCTCCCTCTCCCTCTGGTCTTGCACACACACCCCACGCCCCTCACCTGCAGGACTTTGCCCTGGGGACTCTCGGGAAACAGCAGCACCTGGTTATACAGCGGGTCCAGCGACTTACGGGCGACTTTGGTCTTCTTCTTGGCAATGCATACGCCGTTCTCTAGCAGGTAGGCCTTGATGTAGGCCGCTGGGGGCAGAGGCCAGCGGAGTGAGTTCTAGTCTGGGCTTCAAATGGTGCACAAAGGGTGCAGCAGAGGGAGGCTGCCCACCCACTGCTGGGGATGGGAGGGCCTCCATGGGGTCTGGGGAAGAGGTAACAGGGGCGAGTAGGGTGTTGGGTGGGGTGGTAGGGTGCAGCCAGGCTTGAGTGGGGCCTACTCAACCCCCGGGTGGTCCTTCCTGCCTCCCCCTTCCTTTGCTCACTCTCCACTGACCTGTTTTTTCTTTTGGTCCCTGCCTCACCCAGCCCTCCCCTGGCTTATACATCCATCGCTGACCTAGTCACTCAACAAATGTTTATGCAGCACCCACTGTGTGCCATGCACCCTACCAGGCACTGGGGTATAAACAGGAAAGGGGGCCCCTGCCCTCCAGGAGCTCAGTCTAGTCAGGGAGGCTGACAAGGTCAACTACAATCTCAACTGGGTTGCCAGAACAAACCCTGAATCATCAGTTCCATGTGAGTCACTAGAGTTGGGACAGAGGGGTCCCCCACAGTTGGGCCCAATTTGCTCTCTTCTAGACCCAGACACCCCTCAGGATATCCTTCCCACCTCCACCCCTGCCTTGCAGAGGGGAGGGCAGACCCACACCTGGCAGTGTCTTGGAGCCTGGCTTGGCTGTCAGTCCCCGAGCCTGGATGATGTCCACTTCGAGCTGACCATTCCGTTCCTGCAAGCCAATCTCCACATCCCCTGCAAGAGGACCCAGGAGACGAGAGTGGGAAGAGGCTTAGGAGCTCACTCAAGGGCTCAGTTCCTCCCCTCTGCTTAGGGATGAAATCCCCTCCCCTGCTCCCAGCCCAAAACAAGACCAGAACCAGCTCCCACTCCAAGTGCCTGGGCGCCTCTGAGGGCTGGCAGGTGCGACTAGACTCCAGGCTGGCTGCTCAGCAGATGGAGCCAAGGCAGAGCGGAAGGAGGGAGAGATGCAGGGCGTCTGGTGGGAGCCCCTCCCCGATTTGGAACAGGTCTTGGGGCACTCACCCATCGGCGTGGTGGCCAGGGTCTGGCGGCCCACAAACTGTGCTGGCCCCATGCTGCCCAGGAAGTCACTGAACTGGGCGTCCGACGCCAGGCAAACACCCCCATAGTTAAGGCTGCAGGAAGAAGAGAGAATACGAAAACAAACATTCCTGGGGGGCCGACCGAGGATGCTGATGACAGGCGGTCAGCTCTGGACCGTCCCTCATTCCATGTGATTTCTGTCCACATCCGTCACCCAGCCTCAGGCAGACTGGTGTCCTGTCTCTCCATCTTCTATCCTCATGGCCCTAAAGTCTCAGCTAGGACTCCTAAATTCTAGGGCTTAGCTTTGTGTCCTATACCATTCTCCTACCTCTCCTTGCCGAGCCTCAGGTTTCACCTCCGTGAAATGGGTATGGTGATGCCTGCCTCTTGGGGTGGTTGTATCTTACAAGGGAGATGATGCTTGTCTGTGCCTGGCTCCTAGGGTTTGGTGTCACGATCCTCAAAATGTGGTCCAGAGACCAGCAGTATCACCCGGGAGCTACTTACAAACAGAATTGAGCCCCACTCTGCCCGCTAGATGCTGAATCAGAGTCTGCCTTTTAACACAAGCCTCAGAAGACTCGTTTGCACCTGATAGTTTGAGATGCACAGGACCCGTGGCTCAGCCTTGGAGGTATGCATTTGTTGCTGCTGCTGGGTGGCCCAATCTTTACTTCCCCTTCCTTTGGGAACAAGATCTGAAATCTCCTTTGGGGAGCCCTCTCCCCAAGCATTGATTTCTGCTGGAGTGGAACAGACCTGGCTCCAGAGGCTGGTGTGAGCTCAGCTTGGCCAATCAGGGCATTAGCTTCCCCCTGGCCAGTGATTGGCTCAGAGATGGGCATGTGGCCCAAATCAGCCCACAAGAATCTGGCCAGGAAGCACTGTTTGAATGGTGGGGAGTGAGAAGCTCTCTTCCTACCAGATGTGAAGTCGAGACACAAGACTGAGCTTCTGGCAGCTATCCTACTACCATCTGGAGTCCATGAATGGAGCCAGCAAACTGGTGGCCCTGTGTGAGCACCTGGATCAAGCTCTACCCGAAGCAAGTGCTTCATCTATTTTTTTTGGTTACATAAGTCAACAACAACAATAATTATTTTGCTTAAACCAGTTTTAGTCTTTTCTTCCCCATCTCTGAAATGGGAATAACAATGTTCCATCTCCTAGGTCTGCTGTTCATATTAAATGAGATGAGGCAATATGTACCGTGCCTGACGTACCCCTATCATTTTTAGGAGCAAAGCACCCACAACCCCTTTTCTCATCTGACCCTCGCCACAAGCACAGGAAGGTGGTTTTCACCTTTCTCACTACTATTTAAACGAGGAGGCCCAGGTTCAGCCCGGCCTAAGGCCACAGAGCTCACAGGGCAGTCAGTACTAGAACACAATCGTTGTAACGCCGAATCCCAGGCCACTTTCCACCTGGGCTGTTCCAAGAGCAGCTCTCACAGGTGTCCCAGCAGTAGCCAGGGAGGTCTTTGAGCAGGAGGAGGAACTGCCTCGGGCCTCGAGGGCACTACACGCTTTGTTCCATGCCCTGAGAGCCACCACCCCACCCCAGGAGGCACTTCCAAGGGCGGAGGGGTTTCTGGTTCCGCCCCGCACGGGCACCCATGCTGCTTCCGAACCACTCTGCTATTTTCCCTTTTCCCAAGTTCTTCAGAGACACCAACGCTGTCACGGTCCTCTCTTCCTGCCTCCAGCTCCTCAGTCTAGAAGTCTTCCTGGGGGCGTGAACCAAAGCTTTCTGACTATTACGCCTAATCAATTCACAAAACCTCACAACGGGAACAGGATTTACCCACTTGCTCAGTCAAGTTCCAGGAGGATGTTCTCTAATCTAGCCCTCCCTATTTCACAGATTAGAAGACCGAGGCCCAGTGAGACAGACACCTGCCCGAGGTCTCTGTGATGGCAGCGCTTGCTGCTCTACCAGGCTCCCTCCCGATTCAAGTCACCCGATAGCCTTTTGCACCTTTATTTATGCAAGAAATTCTAAGCAAGCTGAGGGAAGGGACAAGAGAAGACCCTGTGCACAAACACCTTGCTATTTTGCTGGGCGAACCTGTTGCTCCTACAGAAACAACTAAGAATAACATAACAGGGCACAACCAGTCCTAGACCCCCCCGCCTCGGGGTGCACACCTCAGTACCAAGGGCCTGCTCTGTGCCAGCGCCTGTCCAGGCTCTGGGGCTACAGCAGTGAACAATACAAGGCCCTGTCCTCAAGGACCGGACATTGTGGTGTGACCCCTGGATTGGCTCTACTGAAGCAGGCATGATTTCATCCAGTTGCCATGCAAGGATGCTGAGCTTCAGGAGGGAAAGCCACATAGTAACCTCGCCTTGTCCAGGACTAGTCTCGATACACGGGGTGGGCTCCCGGAAGCCCACCTGGTGTGTGTTTCTGTGTGTGGTTAAGGCCACATGTTCACCTCTTCCTCCTGGGTACACAGCTCAGTCCACCTCCCAGCCTCGTAACTGAGAGTGGCCTATGGACATGAACTAACGTGATGTGGGCCATTTCCAGGCCTGTCCTATGAAAACCTCCCACAGGCCATCCCACACCCACGAAAACAGCTACCATCAAAAAGAACACAAAATTTAAAAAATGAAATAACAACCGTTGGCAAAGACGTGGAGAAATTGGAATCCTTGTGCACTGTTGAATGTCAAACGGTGCAGCCACTATGGAAAACAGTGTGGCAGTTCCTCAAAAAATTAAAAATAGAACTGCCATGCGATCCAGCAATTCCGCTTCTGGGTATATACCCCGCCTCAAAACTGAAAGCAGTGTTTCTAAGAGATACTTGTACACCCATGTTCATAGGAGCATTATTTGCAATAGCCAAAAGGTGGAAGCAATCCAAGTGCCTGTCACTGGATGGATGGATAAGCCAAGTGTGGTATGTACACACATGGGCTGTTATTCAGCTTTAACAAGGAAAGAAGTTCTAACACATGTTACAACATGGATGAACCTTGAAGATGTTATGCTAAGTGAAATAAGCCAGTCACGAAAGGACAAATGCTACACGATTCCACTTACATGAGGTACCCAGTGGAGTCAAAGTCATAGAGACAGAAAGCAGAACGGTGGTTGCCAGGGGCTGGGGGAGGGGAGAATGGAAAGTTATTATTTGACGAGTACAGAGTTTCACTTTAACAAGATGAAAAGAGTTCTGGAGATGGATGGTGGTGATGGCAGCACAACAATGTGAATGTTCTTAATGCCATTCACTGAACCATACACTTAAAAATGGTTACAATGGTAAACTTCATGTTGTATGTATTTTACCATGATTAAAAAAACAAAAACAAAAAAACCTCCCACATGCGACTTCTCTCTTCCCACATCAGAGTGTTCAGCAGAGGGTCTTAGGGCCCCAAGGATGGTGACGCCACAAGAGAAAAGGAACCTGGGCCCAATAGCCAGAAACATCTGCACTGAAGTTTGCATGAGCAAGAAATAAACGTTTTTGTTAAGTCATTGATTAAAAAGTCTGGTTACAGCAACTGGCTTTACTATAACAAAGACAGTGAGCCTGTCCCCTGGCTGGAGCTGGTGGGTCCAGGGGTCGACCCCTGACCCGAGCTCAGGCAAACACTCTCTGGGAAATAAAAAAGAGAATCCCAGAGACCAACAGTCATGAGAACTGAGCCGTGGGAATGGTCTGCCCTCACCAAGAGCCCAAAACGACTACCCAGTCCTGGCTGCTCAGCTCTTCCCTCAACCACGTGAGACACCGCAGCGTCGTTGCAATTAAGTCTGTTTTTACTTAAGTTATCAGCAGAGTCAATGGCAGGATAGCAATTTGACATTTTGGCCTCAGTGCTTTTTCATTTTCATGATTTCCTACTACCCCCAGCTGCCCTGTGCTCTGTTCAGGCAGTAGCCAGGGTGCTCTACGTCCACAGCCTCAGAGCAGGGAAGACCGAGGAGGATGCAGAGAACAAGACAGCAGATTCTTGGCTTTTGAGTTTCACACCTAAGAAGAAATGGACTTAGAAGGATAGGGACAAAACCAGGCTGCCCTGCCCCAAACGAACGAACAATCCCCAGCGTGGAGGGCAGAGGGAGTCAGGCGGGGAGGGAAGAGAGCTGGGATGCTGGAGCATCCTCGAGGAAGGTCTGGGTCCTTGGGCTGGCGGTGCCGGGGATGACAGGAAACCTCAGGTAGGTTTGGGGAATCTGGAAGCAGAGGGGACTCATGCTCATCCTTCTTATTGCGGGGAGCTGAGACAAGGGCTCGATGCCTTGCAGAAATGGCTGCCTGGTGTCTTGTCAAGTGAATCTGCGAGTCTCTGCGGCTCTGTGTGTCCCTCCACGCCCCAGGGAGGAGCATATGGCCCTCTGCATGTGAGAGAGGGCCAAATCAAGGCAGAGGCAGAGTAGTATTTGAATCCACACAGTCGGGCTTCTGAATCTATTATCTCAACAATTATGCAACAGTGTCACAGAGAAAGTGCTTAGAGAAAGGGAAAAACAACTTAAATATCTGGGGATGGAAATGTGTACCCATTATTCTTGCAAACCCAAAGACTCTTAACGAACAGCACCAAACTGTTCATTAGACTCTCTCATGGCTGGTGACATGGCCTTTCCTCTAAGCCCCTGTCGCTATTCCACCCCTGCCTCCTGGACGTCTCTGGGGGTCCAGGCTCCATTTTACAAGGAAGGTCTGGGCTCCGAAAGCCCCAGAAATAGCAGTGCCTCTTGGGTTCAAGTCACTGAAGGGGCCCAGCCTCCCAGGCAGCGGGTCCTTCTGCAGCCTGAAATTGAAAGTTTCCTCCAACATCATTGTCTGCTCCTCAGTTCCTGGTGGGATTGGGAGCAGACAATGGGGAACTGGCAGTCTGGTAATTAGCAGTAATTGTCTATAATATCTGGGCGGCTGCCTGATTTCCCATCCCAGGGTGCCTCGCCGGCTGCCAAGGAACCAGGCAGACGCCCCAGAAACCCTGAACGGGTTATCACATCCTCTTTGGGGCTGCAGGAAGGGAGAATAAAGTGGTGGCAGGTCCCTACTGGCCAGAGGACCGACTGCATCGGAGACTCCACTCCACCTTGGGGTCTTCTCTGG